ACCGCTAGAAAACACATGGAGAAAAGGGAAAACCAATTCAGCGGTTTGTTCGGTAATTGCTGAGCTGCTCGCGCTCGCGATCTCACCGTTTACCCCGTAATTTTCATCGACTGCTAAGGACGTCGCTCGGCACACAATTAAACTTAGCAACGCCACTCGAATGCAAGAAAGCCTTTTTCTATTTCCGTGTGTAATGTATTAGTTAGAGTGAGGAGGTGAATGCGGCCGAAAGTTTGATCATATTGGGACTGCATGAATCACCGCTTTTGGCCATTCGGAGGCACACAAATTATATTCGCCTGTGGACGAATCAAGTCCCACTTTCCTGGTCAAGTTTAGAAAATTGTTTTAATTTCTCGTCCAACGACCGTTCTTTCATTTTTACTCTTTTTTTTTTTTTTTTTTTTTTTTTTTTTTGGGATTTTTTTTTTTTTTTTTTTTTTTTTTTTTTTTTTTTTTTTTTTTAGGCAATTTGTTTAAATAGACCTGTGTGATGTTCCTGATTTTCGTGAGTTTCCTATAGCTATTTGAATTTATCGGAAATTTTTTGCAGGGCCAAACGTTAAGAAAATTTGCCGAAATTTGTTGCAAACATTAGTTTTAAGCTCGGACGAGTTGGAATTTTTATAATGAATCTTCGTCCGTAATTGTCAAGTTGCATAAAGCATCGTAGCTTACCTGCTATTGTGCAACATTTCGTATAAAACATTAATCGTCAGTTTGGTCTTGATTTTACGACAAAATAATCGATGCTCATACATGATTTATTAGCGCAGTCATTATGTTTTTATGTTTTATATTTTTAATTTGAAGTTTCGTTTTGTTTTACCACACTTAGCCGCGAAATATTCCCCCCCCCCCAACCTCTTGCTACGATTTTCGTAGCTCACACTAACATGTGGCGAATAATGAAAATGAGAGTAAGTTTTGTTTACTTATTTTGGGTTTGGTACAATAATATAGTTGAAGTTAGTCACGCGTTGATTGACGTATTTTGGTTTGTAAAAATAAAATGTGCTCGTAAGTTCCTTGGAATTTTATAATGATTGTGAATACGTTATTAGCCTCAATTATTTCAGTGACAAATATTCGTGGTGTGCGTTCAGTAGTGGCTTACATTGTAACGAAATAAGACGACCAACGGAAGGTGAAAAAGAGAATTTTTATTGCGTATTGATAATGCATAAAAGATTACAAGGAGAAGAAATTTCTCTTACGGTTTTCTAGAAGAGTTCATTCTTTTGCTAAAGAAAACTTGTCCGTCGGTTGCAATCACGTACTAAATTGTCGTTCATGTTCCATACAAAAAGCATCGCTGCTTTCCACTTAGTGCAATTGCAATAAAAGAATTTGCGATAATAAATATATTTGTAACAAACGAGCGAGGAGATATGAATAATTTTCTTGATAGTGAGGACAAAATTGGGAGTTGGGAAACCCAATTGAATTTTGAGATTTGTCGATTCATCGCACTTAATCAGTGCTCGGGTCGAAATATTGAAAATACATTGTCCGTTAGAATAACGAATAAACTCTCAACTCTCAACGAAAACCGTAAAATCTCACCGAGTATCTATTATTTAAGAATTATCCATAAACTAGAGTTGGAAAAAGTTAAAATTAATGTTAAATTACTTCTGTAAATCAGTCTTTATATTCTTGAGAAAATACATTATCCGTATTCAATATTTAAATCATCCGAGAATGAGCGTCGGTAGTTGTTTTGTTTATTTTTATTTTTTCTATTTTTACCGCCCGAGAATCAAATAATCGAATGGTAAAAGTTGTCAACTGTAGGTAAGCGTTTGTTTATAATAAATTTAAGCCACGGGTAATAATAATGTATTGCTAATTCGTCGATCAATAGTGGAATCAGCAACCGACGGGAGCACCAAGTCCCTCGGATACGGAATCATTGATAAGCATCGAGCGAAACGGGTATTCTGTGTAAAATGACATTTGACAAGCTTGGCGGCATTGCGATCGGCACACGAAACATTTCATCACATCGGCCAATAAATCATCAGGCAAACGACAAACCCATTTTTCATTCGTTCAACGAACGAGGATCCAAGTCCCACGCTACTCGGCTTCGAATCATTGGCAAAATTGCCACGACGCCAACCCTCGCGCGCCCATTCATTTAACCCAGAGCCAGAGCAGAGAGTCCGAGCTGGGAGGCATAAATTAACGGCCGATTAAAAATCTCCTCTCGGCCCCGATAAAACGTCCTTACGGTACACGAGCTGCCCTTAAAAATCCGGGACGCATGGCGAGGCTCGCGAGCAGGTAAGAATCGCCGGTATTCGCGGTGCCGCACTTTCCCGGCCTACTTACCGACGCGCTCTCGTCACCTACAAGGTGCTGCCGAGGTGCGTTCACCTGCGCAGCAGCCGCGAGATAAGATAATCGCCGATGCGAGTCCAAAGCGACTCCACTTAATGCCGGCGATGTGCCACTTCTCTCTCTCTCTCTCTCTCTCTCTCACTCCCTCTCTCACTCCCTCTCTCACTCGCTCTCAGATCGATCGCCTTCTTTCGTACGCGGATTATGCGTGCGTGTGATATCGACTCGCGGCGCGATTATGTGTCGTCGGTTCGTAAGTGTGGCGAGCGTCAAGTATTAGAGATGCACCAAATGCACGGCGAGGGCGATGTTGTCGAGTCGTCGACTATATTTGTGCCGCATCGCGCTGGCATTCACGTGTCTGTTACTTGATTAACGACATAATTAAAGAACGATACCGTTAAAATATTTTTTCTTCTACCTCTGCCTTCCTTTTTCTCGTTTCTTTTTTTTCTTTTTTTTCCTTTTTTCCTTTTTTTCTTTTATTATACGATTCGTAAGCCTCGCGGCTCGCGTTGTCTTATCGATGAATAAATACTGGAGAGGAGCAATCGGTCCGAGGTTTGACACTTTGTCGATTGCGCTCGTCTATGAGAATTATCGATTTGAAATATTTGCCATTTTTGTTATCGAACTGGAGAATTCGGCTGTGGATTATCATTAGCGACGCGGTGCCTTGTCAAGATCGGCAAGAAAATTGCGTATTGCGCGTCTCGTGGGAATTTCATAATTATGCAATGCCAATGTTAAACTAATGGTGAAGTATTGGGAGTAATCACGAGTGGAATAGAATTATATCTCAAGGCTAATTTAACTCCTTACTAATTGAGTTAATAAATGAGAATCAAAGTGTTTCATATAGTATGCGAGATTTGTATAGATATTTATGCGCATGTAGGCTCAATTATGCCTATACGGAGTATTTTTTTCCTGGGAATTGGATTAGTATGACGAAGTATTATCCAGTAAAAGCATTATTTTATAAATAACTTGGACAAGTTTGCCACATAATTACTATTTATTCCGCTCTCTCTCTCTCTTTCTCTCCACAACGAACGCATATTTTATCCGTGCGATATTATCATTTTTTTTTTCGCCAAGAGCGAATTGGCTGGACGATTTTCACGTAAGCTTATGCGACATTGAATACTGCCGCCGAATATATAACTTTGACAAGCTCGATGTTCCATATGGCGGTGGAGCCATCGAGCCTCGATTACTATACCACATACCATTACCGAATAATCCGTTTTACGTCGAAAAGTTTGTAATAAGCGGTAGGCGAACCGCTCGTTCTGCCCCTTTCTACTTCACTATCGTCACTTTGCTCGGTCGCATCGTCCATCTCAAGATTATCGAAGAAGCCACCGGCACACTTTCATAATGATTACGATAGGACTCTGGCACAGCTGCGCCATCCTCCAACATTTTACGATGTTCGGATGTTCACGAAACGAAACGTATAATCGAGCGAATAAGTAAATAATAAGCGACGAGATGAGCACAGGCGCAGGAGACGGAGATGAAAGTCGAGGTAGATTGTTGAGGTAGAGCGTTGTCAATACGAGTGTCGCGGAGGCCAATGCCGAGTGCCGAGACGCCATTGAATCACCGACGCGGCCAAACAAAGTCGAGGTAGAAAAAGGCGAGAAAAGCGCGACCGGACATTAGTCGCTCGCTCTCATAAATCGTCGGCTGCGCGCCCACGTCCGGTGCTCGAGACCCCAAAGGGGGTCACAGAAGCGCGGGCGCGTTGACGCAACGACGTCGTCTTCGTGGTGGAGGAGCAGTCACGCTCGAGTTTCGCCGGGTGAGCGCTCGAGCGAGTTTTCGGACTCGGGCGATTTATATAAATAGCCGGGCGATTATAAAACGACGCGGTCGCGAGCAGCCGTTGGCCAGTGTTTAGGCCGGGCCGTAAGCGACGGGCCGTTGCTCGTACGTGCGGGGGTAGAGCGGGGCTGTTACTACGGCGGGGGCAGGGGACAGGGGCGTTGGGCGACGACTTACCACGGACACACCTAATGTAGTTGTTGAACTCCTTTTGCAGCCTGTTGGCGGCGTTCTGCTGCCTTGTGAAGTTCTGCAGATGCTCGTCGAATATGTCGTCGGCCGTCCGGTCCACCTTGCCCAGATTCTGTAGGAACTGCGGACCGAAGAGAGAGAGAGAAAAGGATTAATGTGTGGGGGAGCCGGGTGCGACCGATGGGCGCTTGTAAGGATGTTATTTGGAAAAATATAGGGACGTCAAACGACGGCAAGGCTTCTTTTATGCGCCTTTTAATTGTAATTCCAAAGTTAACGGCTTGTACGCTTGCAACTACGCCTCTTCGGATTAAGCGTGAGAATGAATGTTTTGCCATGCTTATGGCGTAACAAATATATTCTTGATGTATCGCTCGCATGCTTGGTGTTACGCTCATACGTTAGTTTATCATATTCTCAAAGGAAATTTAAATACCCAGGAGATACCTTATGATAAATATATGGAAATAAGGGGAATGTATGAGATGTATAGTGCGAAAATTGCAAGCTACTCAAAATTCGAGTAAACGTGATTTTTCATCGGAAAGGATAATAGCCGATCGAGCTTTTATCCAACAAGACTATTTATAAAACATTTACGAATGATTATTATGGTTTACAATGTCGTTGCTTCACAACCGATCGGCACACACTTTAACGGCATTCCCTAATGACATTTATTACCCCACCCACGACGTTATTGTACGTAATATTCGACGTTATAATAAATAAACCAATAATGACGCTTCTTTATCGAAAGTGGTATGTGTGAAATCGACACTTCCATCGCAACGTAACGTTAAGGCGTTGTGTGGCTTTTTCAAAGAGCCGAAAGCGTCGCCTCCGTCCTGCCTATAGTCACGCGAGGTTGTTACAATTTTCCCGGGAGCAAGTTTCATTATTATTATTATTATTATTATATACAAGGAGCATTCGATTATAATGAAAGGATGCGAGGAATATGGCGCGGCGACTGGTAAATAAAGCTAGTGGTGCGCACCTTGCGAATTTAATTAATCATCGTCGCAAAAATGTCGAGGAGAAGGAATTCGAGCGCGCGCCAGCCTCAAATAAACATTGCCATTCATTATTTAAAGAAAAGAGGGGAGGGGAAGAAAGTCAATTTACTTAAGGCTCAACGAGCCGCGCCAACGGTAACGACGTTATCCATTTTCGCGAACAATGTGCTTTGATACTCCCGAAACCCCTGGAGCCAAGTGTACGCATTCGCGTCTCTCTCTCTATCTCTCTCTCTCACTCATCAATTCGCAAGAGGCTGCGAGAGGGAAGCGCGATAATTCACGTTCTGTAACAAACGGCACGACTTATCGCTAAGATAGACGGAGAGGGGGGGATGTGGCTTTTTCGGCACTTGGGCCAACGAGAGCCGAGGCGGACGAGGACACGAGTGGGCGCATCGCCGAGATCTGCCCGTCCGAATCCGTTTTCGGCTAAGGCGATCATCCGGGATAGCCCATTTCGTGGGCGATTCTCGTCCGATTACCTCATCCTTCGGCTACGGACT